AATTTGCACTTTGCAAGGGAATTTTCTCCTTAGCTTAGTAAAGCTTTGCTGACTTCTATCATCCAATCATGTGCAAGCGCAAATACTGTTTTTGTCATTTCCTTGGGTATTTTTTCCAAAGTTAATATTCACTAAATGAACTAAGCTAAGGGAGAATTCCCCTACAAAGTGAGCAGCCTATTTGCCTTTAGTAAAGCAACCCTTAGCCTGGCCATACATTATACAATTTTCTTGAGAATTTTGCTTTAGATTTACCAAAAACCATATAATAGGAGGTCAAACCTAAACAACATTTTCAAGTGTATCCAATTAGGCATAGCTGAAGGTAAATCTAAAGGAAATTGGGCAGAAATTGGACAGAAAATATTAAGAAAATTGTATAGTGTATGGCCAGCCTTAGAAATCAACTGAACTACCAAAACATCACCCCCTGTCCCTTTCATAGATGACAAATAGATACACAATCTGGCATCCAGGTTGGCTGATATTGACCAAAAGCTCTTTCTCCCTCAATATAGGATTTGTTCTGGGATGCACACTTTGCATGCAGACATGTACTCTTTTTTTTCTGTAGGTTGTCAAAAAGTGTTCCTCAGCAGATCATTTACAGATATCCATTTGCCGTCTAATTCCTGCAGCCTGCTTTAAAGCGTCGAGTGATTTTGACATATGCTTAAAGCCGAACCCCAGGCAAACAGATAAACTCACATACACTATAACTGGTTTACCTACCAAAGGATTTATAATTTTTATTCATGCAGTCCTCAGATTTACACAGCCCAGATAGCAGCCAGGTTAGTGACCTCAGTTTTCTCTACTGCATTTAGGAAACACAGTATTGGTCACCTGCCGGCCCCAACCTGAGACTGGACAGTAAAGGAGAAGCAGTATTATTATTATTATACAGGATTTATATAGCGCCAACAGTTTGCTCAGCACTTTACAATATACCGGGAGACAATACAGCAACAATACAGTTCAATACAAGAGGGTTAAGAGGGCCCTGCTCCAATTTCTGCCCAATTTCCTTTAGATTTACCTTACAATCTAAGAGGGAGGGGCTAGTGGTACAAAAGGTAGTAGCTGTGGGAAAGGCCTGGTAGGAGTAGAAGATTCCATTATTAGCTGAGGGAAGAATAGGCTTCCCTGAAGAGATAGGTTTTTAGAGATTGCCTAAAAGTGAGCAGAGTAGGCGATAGTCTGATAAATTGGGGTAGAGAGTTCAGGATTGGGGAAGCACTGGAGAAGTCCTGGAGATGAGCATGGGAGGAGGAGACAAGGGAGCTAGAGAGCAGGAGGTCATGCGAGGAGCGGAGAGGACGGTTTGGGTGATATTTGGAGACAAGATTGGTGATGTAATTTGGGGCAGTAGAATGAGAATGCATTTGTTTTTTTCTTTCCTGGCACCAGAGCCTGAATGGTCCAAGAGCTGTCCCTTCCATTCCATTCTCAGTACTATTTATTCGTATTATTTTTGGCATGAGAATGCAGTTGACAATAAAGGTGGCCGCAACATTTGGCCAAGGTAACAATGCTAGAATAACAGAATTATTTTTGACAGTACAGTTTGCGATTGTAGTGGTGGTACTGGGTCTAGCAGTGGACACTAAGCATTGTGTATAGGGTGGATAGTGGTTGGTCTGTTATCTAGCAATTAGAGGAAGGGGGGGTCAGTACTGTTAAACAAGAGAATACAACAAATTGATATTAAGGCGGATTCCTATACTTACATTAGATGCATTAAAAAAAAATACTTCATGGTTTTTAATTAAGATGTAACTGCATTAAATGTCATCTCTTTATGTTTGCTTGGAGTTCAGCTTTAATTTCCAATAAACCTGATCCATCTATATTGTTTAATAATGTATGATTAGAAAGGGAGAATTGCATTGACTTGTTTACAAGTGTGACCTGCACTGACGTAGTTTACATCTACATGTAGGTACAGTATATTCAATATTATGAATCAAGGAATTCAATAATTCTAATTGGCCAGCTTCAGGAATGATATGATTTCGGAATTCAAGCTTCACCATAAAATACTAAATGTGGCAAATACTACTAGACCCATGTCCCAATTCTGTAGCTTTTGACACATTGCCAGCAGTTGCATCACAGAGGAGAGGTTCCACTTGCCCTAATGGAATCACACCATTGCTGCACAATCTCACTCAAGAAAGCAGCTAGGGAGCAACAATTTGCTGGTCCAGCTAGCGTGGGAGCAATCTTGCCATTGGGGAGTTTTCACCAGTGACAGAATCACCAGTGTGAGCATTAGGATTCACTTGAATCCAGAATGTATTTGTTCGCCTGTAAACATCAGATGGTTGTGGCCTTGCTTGGTTCTTTGCAGCATAATCAAGATGATAAAAATTACAGCAGACCCCCCAGGAATTCTCTTTTTGGCATGTTTCTACTTGACCCTGATTAAAGAAACTGATGTAGGGGGTGTCTGCACAATGTACATGCCATATACATGCTGGGGCAGATATATGCACAGACTGTGTAAATACACAAGAAACCTCTTCAACTTGGGGGCCCATTCAAATTAGGTAAGGGTTGGGTAGGCACCCCTTCTCCCCTTGTGCATTGCTCACTTCAAGGGCAGGAGAACTAGAGGGTATTCTTCGTCATACCCTAACCTGAAGTATAATAGCCAAGTGGAGCCAGGCTGTGACCAAATTCTCCATTCTTTGCCTGGCTGGTGCTGTAACATGCAGAATGCACCCTTAATTTTTTTGCCATTTTGGCCTTGAATTAAAGGGAACGCTCACTATATGAATCTGCAGCTATCTTGTTGTATAGCTACAGTAAATACTGAACTTGAGAAATAGTTGAAGGGGGCCCAAAATATGTTCTTGCACAGGGCCCGTTTGGTGACCATGTGTGCCACTGTAAACATCCATACTTTGGGATACGTCACTATTGCAGTATAGTCATGGGCAGATCCATTTACCTTCCTTTACTCAGTATAGAATTTTCCTCATAATGAAGATGCCCACACTAAGTGTAGGAATTGCATCATTGCTTAGGAAGTAAAACGAAGTGACACCTTAGGGTTTACAAAGATTTCCCAGTAAAATATAAGTGCAGGAGTATTCATTATTCCATAACTAGATGGATCAAATTATGGCCAGTTCAGCAGGGACCAGCTGAATTTCGATCCATATATGGCCATCCCCTTTTGAGCAGTGTAGATCTAATGACTGTTGGCATGATTTGAGGTCTATGCAGGTGGGTCATGCTCACCCCCACTGGATCAATCGTCACCTTTTAACTATGCCTAGTTTAAAAGCAGATTAGGTCCTAGGTCTAAAATGTTTTACTTTCCTAAAGAAAATTGTGCTCCTGGTTTCCTCCGGTACTTCTCATATGCTGCCTCTTATCAGAGATCAAAAGGTTGATTTACTAAAGGCAAATAGGCTGTTCACTTTGCAAGGGAAGCTGCACTTTGCAAAGGAATTTACCCCAGAGCTTAGTGAATGTGGTGAAGGCTCACTTTGAAAAGCATGCCCAAACACGTGCATGGAAATATAAAAAAAAAACCTGAATTTTCATTTTGCATATGATTGGATTAGAAAGGTCAGCAGAGCTTCACTACATTCACTAAGCTCTGAGGCAAATTCCCTTGAACAGTGAACAGCCTGTTTGTCTTTTGTAAATTAACCGCCAAGGTATTGAATACCTGGGCTTTTGGGTGTGCATGCAGTCCCAAAAAGACCATTGGCATAGCTCAATAGGCATATTAGTATGGGTCCATAGTGGAGTACTCTAGTACAGTTCACTACCATCCAAAAAAGACCATTGGCATAGCTCAATAGGCATTTTAGTATGGGTCCATAGTGGAGTACTCTAGTACAGTTCACTACCATCCAAAAAAGACCATTGGCATAGTTCAATAGGCATTTTAGTATAAGTCCATAGTGGAGCACTCTAGTACAGTTCAATACTGTCCAAAAAAGACCATTGGCATAGTTCAATAGGCATTATGGTATGGGTTCATATTGGAGTACGCTAACACAGTTCAATACCGTCCAAAAAGGACCATTGGCATAGCTCAATAGGCATTATGGTATGGGTCCATATTGGAGTACTCTAATACAGTTCAATGCTGTCCAAAAAGGACCATTGGCATAGCTCTGAAGGCATTATAGTATGGGTCCGTATTGGAGTACTCTAACACAGTTCAATGCTGTCCCAAAAATGCCATCTGCACATCTCAATAGACATTATGGACCCATATTAGGGTACTCTGACACAATTCAATATAAACCTTTACTCACGCCAAAATTTTCATATTCCTGGTAAAAATATGTGAAAAATTTAATTATATCTATGCATTCTATCAGTAAAGTTTTGGGTAAAAATAAGAAAGTAGCCCTTGGGTCTTTTGGAAGTGTTTCAGCCATTTTCAATAGGATTGTAGCATATGTGCTTTAATCAATTTTTTATATTCAATCATTTCCAGCATGGAAACTGATGGAAAAAAAAAACTAAAGAAGCTTTAAAAAAACATTGTATTCTCAGTAGGGTTCTAATTTGATTGTCCATTAAATTGAAAACGGCCAACATATAAATGGTACCAACAAAACAAAATATTCCAAAATTTGATCAAAATTTCAGTGGATACTGTATTTGAGAACCAGTTAAATGAGGGGCCCAAATATTGGTCTTGTAATTGTCCTTTAAATTGAAAAAACAGCCAACACATAAATGGTACCAATGAAACAAAATTTAAAAAAATTTGACGGGTATTAACTTTTTAAATGTGATGAGTATTAAAAAAAAAGATAAAAGTGTGGCATAATTCTTTAATGTGCTCTTTGATCTTCTGGCACTTGTATAGAAAGTAGGTTGATAAGAACTAGTAAAGCTGCGGTTTGTTTTTTTGTACACTGCGCTAAAATCAATTTATCTCATTGCAGATAAAAGCAAAGAAATGCATTTCTACATCACAGATTCGGACACATCCGCTGGCGAATTTTGGCGAGAGATACCAAGTAGGTTCCATTCCGATAACATCTTCCGTCCACCTTTGTGAGATAAGCCAATTCTGTTCCGTATGTTAGCGCTAAGCGCCATAATAAAAAACACTCAGAGTTGATAGGACACAGAGAAAAAAAAAAAACAAATTTAAAATAAATAAAAATAAAAAATCACCGCCAAGCTAATAGCCAACGGATTATTAATTGCCGAGACAGCATCAAAAGGGATTTCGGAAATATATACAATGAGGCAGCCTGTGAAAAAAAAATAAAAAAAATCCATGCCACGACAATAATTGAAATGTTTCCTTGCAAACCTTCCATTTAAAAGGATCACAGCTTATTTTGCTTTTATATCTGTCAGAAAGACATTAAAGGTATTTTATGGCGTCGCTCCCAACATTTATATTATCTCCATGATAATGATCTCTACACAAAATGTATAATACATTTACAAAAATTACATTATACAAATTAAATGAAACCACCTTTTCGCTGATTGCCGAACGTCTCCGAGGGCTTTGGGAAGGACGTGATTAGAAGTTTTGATACTAAGTTGTCTATTGCAGTGTCTTAAGGAGAGTTTTTTTTTTTTTTTCCTTTTTCTTTTTTTTTTTTTTGCTTTCTTGGGAATGGAGAATCTAATTTTCCATTTATGTAATGCAAACTGCCTTGGCTTTGACTATTCACGGTTAATTGACTGTCAAACGAGGTTGTTATCCTGAGGCAATGTCTGCAAATTTGCCTGTCAAATGAGACAGAGAGAGCAAGCAGCAGAGAAGGAGGCTGAGAGGGGCAGAGGGGAGAGAGAGAGGGAAGGATTGGCGGCGTTCTGTTCGGGAACAGCAATGGGGGCTCAGAACTCAGGAAATGACTCAGGGTAGAGCCATACTCTACCACTACCTGGGGTCAGAGGACACCTGCTTATGTGCTTATCAAGGGGTGTACAATGGAAGGTGAAGCTGATTCATTTGCAAAGTGCCACCCATCTGGAAAAGGTCCATCACCATGAACAGCGCAATGTGATGTATAGTTGTATGCAAATGTTGGGGGTAAAATCACACTGAATTGATTTTCATCAATTTATAAAGGACCAAACAGTAGAATCGGCCAAAGGTCGCCAAGCATATGCTGACACATTTATGCCGGCATCTGGTTCACATCTTAATTTCACATTAAATGCTGGCAATGCAAGTCGCATTATTAAAATGGTCATTGCTATTTTCGGGACAAAAAAGATGCGCCCCTTAATCTTTGGTGATACCCTACATAGACCCACATTGCTCTTTTGCCTAAATCCACAATGGGTGATGATCAGGGGCGGACCCACAACTCATGGGGCCCCCGGGCCATAGGGGATCATGGGGCCCCCGGGCCATAGGGGATCATGGGGCCCCTGTGTTCTTGCCCAAACTCAAAAAAGCCTATGAAAAAGGTACCAGGGGCATCTCATGGGGCCCCCTACTGACCCTGGGCCCTCGGGCAGTACCCGAGTTTCCAAATGGTCAGTCCGCCCCTGGTGATGATTCACCGGGATTAAGTCATTGATGAGTTAAAAGAGGTCTACAAAAATCCCATTATGCCTGAGAACCTGGCAGAGGATCCAGGATTGGACCCCTCGTGCAACCACCCTTATCCTGTGTGAAGACATGGTGATGATTCACTGGGATGAAGTAATCGATGAGTTAAAAGAGGTCTACAAAAATCCCATTATGGTCCAATTAGCAGAGGCACCCATTGTCATATGTGTAAGGATAGGTTGGAGTCATCTGGTTTAATGAGCCAGATGACTCCAACCTATCCTTAAACATACGACAATGGACCACCAGTGGTATTTTTTAGACCTCTTTAAACTCACTGATTACACATACCTGCCTGAGAACCTGGCAGAGGATCCAGGATTGGACCCCTGGTGCAACCACCCTTATCCTGTGTGAAGACATGGTGATGATTCACTGGGATAAAGTCATTGATGAGTTAAAAGAGGTCTACAAAAATCCCATTATGGTCCAATTACCAGAGGCACCCATTGTCATATGTGTAAGCATAGGTTGGAGTCATCTGGTTTAATGAGCCAGATGACTCCAACCTATCTTTAAACATAGGACAACGGACCGCCAATGGGATTTTTTAGACCTCTTTAAACTCACCCATTTCACATACCTGCCTGAGAACCTGGCAGAGGATCCAGGATTGGACCCCTCGTGCAACCACCCTTATCCTGTGTGAAGACATGGTGATGATTCACTGGGATGAAGTCATTGATGAGTTAAAAGAGGTCTACAAAAATCCCATTATGGTCCAATTAGCTGAGGCACCCATTGTCATATGTCAAAGGATAGGTTGGAGTCATTTGGTTTGATGAGCCAGATGACTCCAACCTATCCTTAAACATAGGACAACGGACCACCAATGGGATTTTTTTAGACCTCTTTAAACTCACTGATTTCACATACCCGCCTGAGAACCCAAGAGAGGATCCAGGATTTGGCCCTACGTGCTACCACCCTTATCCTGCGTGGAGACAGGGTTTTCTGTGCCCAAGTATTTGAAAGGTTGCGTGCTCCCACCCAATAGAGGGACCACAGCCTCAACAGATGTCAGCTACTTTCTGATTTTCTTTTGTCCTATTGATGAATCGCATGAGTCAATTATCATTTTGAGCCACTTAATTACACTATAAGGGATCCCTTGTCTCCTTTTTTTTCCTTTTTCTGGTGTGTACACCCAGTGCTGTATCAGAGACCGCACGCCGGGTCCTTAGATCCGAACCCCAAGGACCTTTGTGGGCCACCACATCCTAAATCCCATTTCACTGGGACTAGGTACGCACTCCGGCTGGCCATAGATTATGCGATTTGCTTTCCTTCAACCAAAAGCTGAAGTAAGGAAAATTTCTCCATTCCCCCATTCAAAACCATCGGTGTTGAAGGGGAAATCTCTCTCGCTGTGCTACTGTATTCTGACAACAGGAGGTTTCCCCACCATCAGAATACAATGATAACTGCTGGTGGCTAAAGTCGCTGGCAGTGATCGTATGTAAAAAAACCCAACAAGCTGGTCGTTCTGAAGTTGGCCAACAGATCGACTTCAGTACAACTAGCCTGCTCATAGATGGATAGAAATTCATCTGGTTCTGCCGCTGAAGCAGCTGAATTTTGATCCATCTATAGCCGAATCTACATTCCAATACTTTTGCTTACATGGTTCACCATTGCTTGGTGGACACAATAAAAGCCATTATGGAAAGTAAACATGCTTTACCCGTTGGGTAAGTCAGCCTTAATGGAGTTGATTTACAAAAGGAAAATAGGCTTTTCCCTTTTCAAGGGAATTTGCAGTCTTCAATGGAATTTGCACTTTGCAATGGACTTCTCACCCCTTTAAACCCAAAGGAAACCTTGCAATAAATTTCAGGCCTCATAGAACCCCTGCTAAGAGTAGTCCATTGGTAGTCATTGGGAAAATGCATCTTCCATTGGCGGTGGTCAGTGGGAAGTATGCTTCTTACATTGGTGGTCATAATGTCACACTTATAGTCTTGGCCCTGCAAAATCGTGCTGGACCTGGAACTATGTAGGCACCATCACATGGGAGGTCAGTTAGCCACAGCTCAAGGAAACCCTAGCCTATTCTGAAGGAACCCGGTTGAGAATGACGGCTCTAGAATGTTAATGTAATTTGATTGAGTCATGCTTAGCATGATTTCTTAAGACAGGTCCACTTTAACCATTTGTTAAGGAGATCTCATTCTAACCCATTAAAATCAGAGTCCATCACATACTAGTCTGACGTCATCAGGGTGAACTTTGATTGGTGGCTTGAATAGCCTGGAGGAGATCAACAACAGAGCAAAAAATGAATAAAAAAAAAAATTGAAAGTGAAAAAAATGGGCAATTGTTTATGATTGTTTTAACACACTAAATATAATCCAATTAGGGTTTACATTTGCTTTAAATCAAAGCAGAAATCCTAAAAATAAGAAAAAAATAAACAGTTTATGAAGAGAAACAGCAGGATACTGATCTTCTCAGTGAATGGTTGTTCGGGGGGGGGGGGGGGGCGGAGTGTCAGGACAAGTCTGATCATTGGAGAGAAGTGCAGATGAGTTCCAAGCACAGCTAGAGAACTGACCACACTGTACTATCATTCCCAGGGCCGGATCTAGGGGAGTGCTAGGATGGGCTTTGCCGCTCCCAGATTTTAGTTGTGCCCCCCCCCCTGGTCCCTGAGAGGGCATCCACTAATCCAACAGCCAGTCTGATGAAGACAGTTGATATAAGGAGGCACTCTGATGTGGACAATCCATGCACAGTAAGGGGGGCACTCTGATGGGGCACCTTATGTAAGGGGAAACTCTGATGGGAATAATTGATCGTATGTAAAAGGATGGGGACAATTGATGTAAGGGGGGACTCTATTAGGTACACTAATGTAAGGGAGTATTCTGATGGAGAACCCTGATGTAAGGGGGCACTCTGATGTAAGGAGGCACTTTAATGGGGACACTGATGTAAGGGGGCACTCTGATGGGGACACTGATGTAAGGGGGCACTCTGATGGGGACACTGATGTAAGGGGGCACTCTGATGGGGACACTGGTGTAAGGGGGGCATTCTGATGAGGACACCTGATGTAAGGGGGCATTCTGGTGAGGACGCTGATGTAAGGGGGCAATTGGATGGGGACACCTGATGTAAAGGGGCACTCTAATGGGGACACTGATGTAAGGGGGCACTCTGATGAGGACACCTGATGTAAGGGGGCATTCTGATGAGGACGTTGATGTAAGGGGGCAGTTGGATGGGGACACCTGATGTAAAGGGGCACTCTAATGGGGACACTGATGTAAGGGGGCACTCTGATGGGGACACTGCTGTAATGGAGCACTCCGATGGGGACACCTGATGTAAGGGGGCAATTGGATGAGGACATCTGATGTAAGGGGACACTCTAATGGGGACACTGATGTAAGGGGGAAATTGGATGGGGGGACACCTGATGTATGGGGCAA